TGAACAAACCTATATATATGTTTATTACAGTCTCAGTATTAAGCATTGAGATAAAGCATCATTGACCACCCTCCAGCTGAACTGCTCCATTGATCACAACTTTCTGGGCCATTTTCTTCAGCCATTTTTGAATAGACTTTTCTGTTCACTTACCTAGCTCTGTGAGGATGTTATCGGAGACAATGTCAAAAGCCTTACTTAAGGTAAACAACATCAACTGTTGGACCCACTCTCCCCTTAGACATCAAGCAAGTGACCTGTACTGGGTATGCATGCAAGGTTTTGGTAGCGGGGGGGCTACACGGGTGGCTTCTGTTAGAAGCTGCTAGAAGCTTCTCCTATGTCTGACAGAGTCAATGCCGGCTGGCTCCAAGTCGGACCTGCTGTTGGCCAAGTTTGAGCCAATATCAGGGACAGTGGTAGCACCTCTGGATTAATATAGTTAAGAAGGGAAAAAAACCCAAGAAAGCATCAAATAGGATGTGCAGCCAGAGAAAGGAGTGAAAATATGTGAGAGGAACAACTCTGCAGACACCAAGGTCAGTGCAGAAGGATGGGCAGGAGGTGCTCCAGGCGCCAGAGCAGAGATTCCCCTGCAGCCCATGGAGAAAACCATGGTGAGACAGGCTGTCCCCCTCAGCCCATGGAGGTTGATGGTGGAGCAGATATCCACCTGCAGCCCATGGAGGACCTCACGCTGGAGCAGGTGGATACACCCGAAGCAGGCTGTGACCCCATCAGAAGCCTGCACTGGAGCAGGCTCCTGGCAGGACCTGCTGTGGCCCTGTGGAAGAGACCCGCTGCAACACTTCATGAACAACTGCAGCCTGTGGGAATGACTCATGTTGGAGAAGTTCATGTCTCCTGTGGGAGGAACTCCATGCTGGAGCAGGGGAGGAGTGTGAGGAGGAAGGAGCAGAGAAAACATGTGAACTGACGGCAACCCCCATTCCCCGTCCCCTTGCGCTGCTCGGGGAAGAGGATGTAGAGCAAACTTGACTCATGTTGGAGAAGGGAGTGAAGTTAAGCCCAGGAAGAAGGGACAGTTGGGGGGAAAGTGTATTAAGATTTGGTTTTAGGTCCCAGGCACCAGTCAGCAGCATACCCATGTTTTTCCTAGCCTTTCTTTTGCTGTTTATACACTTTTAGAAACCTTTCATCCTGGTGGGATGGGGAGAAGAATTGGAAGAAAAAGGTAAAGCTCATGGGTTGGGATAAGGACAGTTTATTAGGACAGCAAAGGAAGAGAAAAATAACAACAGTACTCAGAATATACAAAATGGATGATACACAATGCAATTTGCTCACCCCATGACCTGACCAGACCACTGGACACTCAGCCCACCCCTAAGCCCTGGGTAGCCTCATTTATATGCTGAGCATGTCATATGGTATGGAATACCCCTTTGGATAGTTTGGGTCACCTGTCCTGGCTGTGTCTTCTCCCAGCTTCTTGTGAAAAGTAACTGTGCTAGCCCAAAACCACCCTGATTTCTGGCAAGCCCCAGGGAAACTCACTTCATGCTCTTCCCCAGCAGTCTCCTTAGGGAGGCATGATGAGATGAAGAGGGTGAAGAGAAGGCAGAGAAGAGCTGTGTTCTACCAGACTTACGCAAGTTTGCTTAGCATGTATCCCCGAAGCTTCTCTGGCAGGGTCAACGGAACCTGGATATCTGCAGCTGTTGGGAGGCCCAGGCACAGATAAGCACTGTTGGAAACACCACAGGTCTCTGGATTTTGTGGACAATCCAGCTCTTCCAGACCTGTCCTTGCCTGCTGTTCAGGAGGACTGAAGTGCTAACAGGGAGGGGGTGACAGATGTTTAACTGTTTGCCAAGTGAAAGCAGACACATAGCTTTTGGTGACCAAAAGGCATCACTTTGTCCAGAGGATGGAGGACACAGAAAAACTCCTCTTTTTTCCAAAGAAATAAACACTCCCACTAGATGAAAAGATTTGGTCACGTTATGCATTTTATATCCCGCTCTCATTGTTCCTGTTCTTTTTATTTAATACTGTTATAGGTGATAGGGGATTCATTTTTTTCCTCACACCAGCAGTACATCCAATCCAGGTTGCTTAAGCAACATCAGGGCATCGAAGGACTTTGCTCTTGTGAATAATTGTGCTCAGCTTAATTTATGACTTTTTAAAGCCTCCAAAATACCTATGTGCTGAACACAAAGGAAGCCTTAAAATAGTATCATAACTCTGCTCAGAGTGACTACCAGACTGGGAATGAAGCCAACCACGTAGCAATGGGTGCAACAAAACAAAAATACAGAGCCAGGTCTCAGAGTAAAAAAACAGTTTATCTGACCATCAAGACATAATCACCTGCAGAGAACTGCCTTTGCAATGACATATCTTTGCACAGGAGGCTGGGTAGACAGCAAAATGATAGTTTAAGAATAGCTTTCATCAAATTAAAATCAAAGACGAGCCAGATTTCCCAAAGTACTGTGATAGTTCTAACCTCCTCTGTCATATGCTATGGAAAGCAAATGGCTGAATTTTAGAGTATTTTTTGTCTACTGTATTCATCCTCTTCCCATTTAACATCAGAATTCAGACCTGTGCTCTACTGGCATTGATATTAATTATTGCTCAGTTACTCACATGGGGGAAAAAAGAGTATTTTGTCCAAGTATCTAACCTGTTCCTGTGTGAGTATTTGTATTTGCATGGCACTTACTTACAGTCTCTAAGTGAGATCAAGTCTTCATTTAATTAGCAGTGTGTATGCATTCAATACACATAGGGGGGTGTGTGTATATATATACACATAGACATACACACATATTCTTATGATATGAGTCTAAATGGTCAAAAGAAATAAAGGTGAGGAGAAAGAAAATATTTTCCCTAAATGAAAATGGGTAGAGAAAGCTTAACTGAATTTTGGAAGTATACATAATGCCAAGAGACAGGATGGCAGTAGTATTCTGCAGGTCCCTGAACTACCATTGAGAGTGTTATTTTATTTCAACATGTACTTCCACAGCTGAAATATTAAGAAACTAAGGATATTTCTGTAACTTTTTCTTTTAAATTCTCATTATACTTCCTGTAGAATTTTTGAGGGAGAAGGAAAAGATAATATCTAAGATATATATAACATTCTAATATCCAGCTGAAATAAAAAGAAAGTGGCAAAAAAAGACAATGAAGTCATAAAGCAGAAAATGAAAGTGGTAAGTGTCAAAATCATACACAAGGGGGAAAACCTTAAAAACCAAAAAATGATGAAAGAAAACTTCTCCTACAGAATAATTAAAGTTCAAGATTTTGAAGAAACAGGAGCCTACGAATGACCTTCAAAGCAGCCTGTCTCTCAGAATTTAAACACAGGAAAGGACGAACGTAAGAGCTTATCATTATCATGAATACTTTTGGCTTGATACAAATTGGCCTCATACTGTTGTGCACTACCACCATCTCCAGTCTTCAGTGTAATCACCTTCCTTTACAGCAAAGAAAAGTGATTGAGAACAGCCTGCAGCTTTTGGACAAAATGGGCGAAAAGTTTCCTCAACAATGTCTAAGAGAGAAAATCTCATTCAGATTTCCTGAGCAGGTTTTAAAGCCCAGACAGAAAGAGACTGTCAAAGTGGCCATTGAAGAGATCTTCCAACACATCTTCTATATCTTTAGCAAAAATCTGACTTTAGCTGCATGGAATGGGACAGCTTTAGAACAACTCCAAAATGTACTTTATCAGCAAATTGAGCAATTGGAGGCATGTGTAATCAAGAAGCAGATCCACTACTTTCGGAGTAAAGAAGTCAACAGGCTGAAACTGAAAAAGTACTTCCAAAAAATAGACTGTTTTCTTAAAGATAAACAACACAACCTGTGCTCCTGGGAGGTAAGCCGTGCAGAAATGAGAAGATGTCTTCAATTTATTGATAAAGTCATAAGGAAGCTTAACAACTAAGGTACAAGATTTTGACCTGAAATAACTTAGCGTTACAAATTTTTATGTTTATTATTTGTTCTGTGATCTATCTTGTGGAAGTGCTTCTAGTTCATTTTGATTGTATTTACATAATTATGTTGCTGAAATTTATTTTTGCAAATGTAATACATTATTCAATGTAAGTACATTTTTCCCTTGGTAAGCAAGGTGTCTACACTAGCTATAAATTAATCTATATGACTTTTCAGTGATGGTTACTCCATAGGAAGGGATTGTAATCTTATGACAAATAGTGTCATCCTATGGTGCTTTCTGCTGAGAAAATGTGCTGCTACTTTCCACTCTCTATTTCACCTACATATAGAGAATCATATATTTGTGAATGGACTAGACATCCCACACCTTACAGGAATTGCTAGATTTGTACTGATTGAGACTGCATCAAAAATAAAGTAGCATAGTTTTCGTTGAAGTGTTCCTGACTTAGGTTGAGACCATTCATTATTCTTTCAAAGTTTGTACAGTCTTTTCCAAGATTTTTTTTTTTTTTTTTTACATTTGAGTCATTCTAACATTTGCTTTGTCCAAAGAGATAAAGTAATTCTAGAAGGATTTGTCTACATAGGATATTGTTTGCAGTAGCTATGGCTTCTGCAATAACTTCTCAGTTGGACATTGTTACTTTAAATTGAAGTATCTTTGCCTCCTCTGTCTATCTGAGGGAAAGGATTTTTTTCTTCCTGCTGTGTTTCCACTTCACTTTAATTTTTTTCACAAGCTTATTTGAAATAACTTCTCTACATAAAAGTACCCTAAAGCCACATCTGGCTGTGGCACATCCTACTTGCTCATGGATGTATTCATCCTGGCTACTGCAATCTCAAACATCATCATTCAGTGCTGTGTTTTATTGCTGCATGAAATTTTCTGCCTCTTTGCCTTTGCTCACAAACTGATGCACAGAAACATATAGCCCTTGGTATTCCAATGAATTTCCCCTCCAAACCACATAGCCTTGAGTAATAATTGCAATATAATCAAATTCTTTAAAACAACTTGCAACAAACTGGGCAAAAATCCACTAATTTCTGTGAGGTCAAGCCCGGATTTTACCCTTGGGAAATTGTCCCTGGGTAACTCCATTTCAAATGGCTGTGTTTTCTGTAGTTATTTGCTGTATGTTAGTAAGGGGGAAAACAGAGTTATATCCAGGCTCTGTTACCTAATGAATATTGGTAAAAATCTGGTAAAACCCCCAACAACTTTTTTTTTTTTTTAAAAAGAAGCTATTTCCTGTGACCAAGGTTGATGTACTTTCAGCACAGGCTTCTGAGTTTGGGATAAAGAAGCAGAGGAGAGAGAGCATGGCTGTGACTCCCAAGAGAGAGTGATGTTAGTCCTAGAGGGCTGAAATTGCTAGAGGTTGGTTTAAGCATCAGGTGAGGAACTACTTTAAAGCTTTGTCCAGTCATTTGGGAGAGTATCATTCAACGGGATGATAATAAAAAGGTACATCTAAACAAAAAATTGACTGGTAATAACAATAGCAATGGTATACCAGATCTCAGGTACCATACCTATGACACAGGTCTCTTTTGCAGGTTGTACGTACTCTCCTCTCTACCACACACAGACGTGAGCTAAAGAAGTGACAAGAGACATGGGTATCAGTTCTGAAGCTGAAATACCAGAAATAAAACCAGCTAACAACTTCACCATGATCCAGAACAACAGAAAAGACCAAAGAAACACAGCAAGTTATCAGAGACATTTTTCTGCCTGGTGATACCCTGCCACAAATGTTACAATAAAATGTGTGGTTTTGGGATTTGTAACTAACAGCACTTGAAGTGGCCCCACTGCGAGACTGTTTCAAACCTTATTTCTGTGGCTTGCTTTTTGCACTTCTTCAAGCCTGTATAATATCAGGACATTCAGCCTACTTACCTTTTTGGTTCTGATATCCTAGGTGGCTTCTGCAATACAGTAAGCTGTTATTGAAATGGCCTCATTTTTTACTGAAACTTGGGAATAGCATGAAGTATTTTCAGCTACTCTATCATGAGGGACCCTGGTTTTTATTGCCTCACTTGCCTGCAGTGGGAATATGTTAATTCACGGCCCACTAATTGTTCAGAAACTTTCATACCATTAAGTAAGTTTTCATTTTAGTTCATAACTACCTTAAAAATCTCATCGACAAATAAAAATATGTTTTGACATATTTCAGTCAACAGGGTACTTTGCAGTGCAAGAAAAGAACCCAGGATGGGCACTAGAGGGCAAAGTGAGATTATAGACAAGTGTAACAATTGTAAGTGAATGTACACGTATTTTGGCAAGACAGTGTTTCAGCTCTTTATGAGCATGCTGCTTATCAATAAACTGCTGCTGGATTCACAGAAGGGAATTGAAAGAAAAGTTAACTATTCTTGATAGAAAGAAGAAGACTTCAGAGATGATGGACAGGAGCTCATAAACTAGCATTTGATTTCAATTACTTTGTGGCCAACTGTAAGCTAATAGAAATTATTTGTACTGAGACAATGTCTAGAAGACGCATTTAAAGATGAGGCCCCTGGAACAGACATAGTTGCTGAACAAATAAAAAGGAAGAAGAAAATAGCAAGCCAATGTATCTTTGTTTTATTCTTACATTTTAAAGAAAGGTAAAGGAGTTTTAAGGTAAAGGAAGAAAGATGAAGAGTTGGAGTATTGTCTTTCTTCTCTTTACCATTGTAACATTTTGGAGCATTCCATATTTTATCGCCATTGTGTTACCAATCAGCTGTATATTATACCCCTGGCTAAATGAAACCCTCTGGTATTTCTTCCAGTTACTATTTTTCTAGAAGTTAAACAAATATAGCAAAATACAGTTTTTAACACACATTATTTTCAAATTGAAATGAATAAAATCATGAATGTGAAATCTCAAACCTGGTCAAAAATTTAACATAGATGAAACAAAATTTTTCCAAGGATTTTGGCTTGTAGGCCAAACAGTTTAATAAATTTTCTCATAAGACTCATGAACCAGTGCTGTGCAGCACAGATCCCAGTCCCAGTTGTGACTGTTCTCATGGCTAGTCTGACAGCACCTCATTTACATGTGCTGTGCTGCACTTTTTAGGAAACTGCACCAGAAGTGATAGGGTTTCATCTATGCAGAGTCTGTTTTCTGGAGTAGATTTGTGGGACTGGGGTCAAACACCTTGTATCCCACATGCAACTTCAGAATAGCTACAGCAGAACTGAAGAATGCTTATTCTAGACTTAACTCTGGAAAAAATTATTCACAAGTCACAGTCAACTGCAGCTGTCCAAACCAATTGTTCCATGCATTTGGCCTGTTCTGTCAGCTCTGGCTTTACTTCATTTTTCACTTGCGGGGGGGGGGAGCAAACCCAAAACAGATAAAAAACCCCAAAGCAAAACAGGACAAAAGCCTGTGGAAATAACTCTCCAAATAACTATCCAGGATTAGGCCTCATTGCCAGGAAGGACAGCTACGAACTCCTTCAGAGCATCCATATGGAATTTGCAGCAGTGGCTGTGACGGAGCAGGCAGACCGACACCAGGATTGAGGAGTGTGGGCTGGAGAGAGGATCAGGAACTGTTTGTGGGGAGACTGCACCCATGGACTGCTGCATCCTGCCGGTTCTCACCCCTTCCAACCCAGCCTGCCCCTTGTCAGGGGTAGCCCTAAACTGTTTTCTCCCTCCTAATTGTGGAGGAACACTGGGCCCTTCCAGGGAGCGACCAGAAGGGAGACCAAGAAATGAGGGTGAAAAGATACAGAATAAATCTTAAAGTGTCAGTCCTCAGAATTAATTTACTTTGCTTTAGAAATTTAATGCAAAGCAAAAAAAGGTGAACAAAGCACGTCAGACAGCATTAGATACTTTCCAATAAGATGACTGTGCTCTTTCATATCCAAAAATCTTTCTACTAATCCTCATATTAGCAAGGATAATTCATTTATATCAGTGCTTCCCACACTTCTACTGACATCAAGAAATTCTGGTAAGATGGAAGGGCTTCTTCAGTGCTGAAGAAGAAGCAAAGTCTGACAAGGAAAGCAAGGACAATCTTTCTTCTCAGCCTGCAGACACGCCAGTGCCATGGCCCATTCTTCAAACTGGAGGGCACCGCCAAGCCCACCTTGCTTCCAAACACTCTTCATCAGTTGTGTCCTGCATTAATTCCCTTTCTCTCTGCACAACATTAAAATTGAAATCCCCAGGTCACATGAACTGGCAACCCTCTGTTTTAATTTCCGGGGAGCTGAGGATGAAGTAACGGTAAGTGATGAGTATATGAGCACAGAGAAATTCATGTTCTGCCTCAGTTCTCTCCACAAGAAGCTGCAAGGTTGATTAATTTTCTAAGACCAATCTTCCTGACCCAAGTGCTTGCAATTAGGATCCTAACACCACATTACCTTCAGCAATGAAGAATTCAATTTTCTAAGCAAATAATATAATCCGCTTTCGAAAGTGTGGAAGGAAACACATTTAACACTCTTCTCTACAAAATGATTGTTAAAACATGCTAATACATTTGCAAAGTCAAAATCCATGTTAAGGAGATTAAATACTGAGATTTCAAACAGTGTATCAGCCCCCTGCACACCAGTTACCACCGTGTCTCCTCACTGTAACTCTTATTGTTGGCTGTATTCCTCAAGTTTCTTATCTTGGTAGGCCAGAACCTACACAATTTCTTCTGGACTCAGCTGGAGTACTGTGTGTTACAGTTCATTTTCCCAGAAAGGAAATATCTTGACAGACATATTTATATAAACCAGAAAGCTTTTTTTCTTAAAAAAAAAAAAAAAAAAAAGCCTATTTGACTTCAAATGTTTTTAAAAATGCTCTCTCTTTAAGCAATTAATATACTTTCTCTTCAAATGTCTTTGGCTTTGAGGTGGACTCAGTTCTGGTCTTAGCTCACCTTGGCTGTATCAGACCTTTTCTTATGATTAAAATTTTATAATAGTCAGAAATAAGGTCCT